TTGTCTGGAGTCAAACAGAGCAACCAGGAGATTTCTCTTCTCCATTTTCTCTGAGAGAGCCACGTGCTGAGAAGTGTTGTCCTGTGTTCCTCACGTGATGGCAGGGCAGGCAAACCATGGCAAGTGGAAGCCATGTTATTGCTAGAAAACATGACAAAGCCTCACCACGTGCCTGCATACCTTTTCCTTATCTCCTGACTGGGAAATACAGATTTACCAAAAGGTGTGGGCTTTATTCCCAGCTTTGCACCCAGTTGGCAGGATGACCTTGGGCTTGTCCCCTTATCATCCATGACTCAGTTCCCCAGCTGTAAAATGGGCAGTGAATGTGACCTTTGGGAATCTGGTAGAGAACAGCAGGGTACTTCTGGAGAGAGCTGAGCCTGAGGGTGCAGAGGGAACACTGCACTTCCCTTGGGCAGCAGTGCCCAGCATCCAGCCAGCACCAGCTCCAAGGCAGACTGGGACATCTGTCCCCAGGGACCAAATCCTGAACTGACCACAGGTAAAACTCCGTTGAAAGCCGAGCTAAGCTTCTGACTTTGACCAGTGGGGAGGGCTGGTTCCAACTTTTTTCATCTCAAATGTGTTTTGCCACGTTGCTGTCTCTAACAGCTACAGGGGGAAAGCTGTTTTGCAGGGCTTGTTCTGGAAGGTGGGGATGGAGTGGCTGTGCACCTCCTCCTTCTGTTTATGTTGTGGTTTCACTGGCTGTCCCTTGGAGGTGACCAGTTTCACAAACACATCTGGAAGGCTGCATCAGCCTTTCCTGGTGGGAAGATGGTGCCTCAGCAAAACTGGCTGTACTCCCTTGAAAATCTGGCCTGTCTCCATTGCAGCACTCCTTGATGAGGAGTCACTGTGAGGGCACTTAGAGCTGGCACAACCATTTTGTATCCCTCCTATTCCCCTGTTCCCCTTCCCACAGAGACCTGTTAGTGTTGCCAGGCCTTTTCTCAGTGTCAGCAATGTAATCCAGTTTGGTTTAAACGTTTGTTGGTTTGGTTTTATTTTTTTTAAAACCTCAATCATATTTCTAGAAAGGGTTTTAGGTGAGGTTGTTCCTGTGGTTGTGCTGGCAGACCTGAGAAGTCAGTAGCCCCTGGCAGGAGGCAGGAATGAATTACTTCTAAATATTCATGTGACTGTTGCTCCCCAGTGTGCTGGAGCAGCCCTAAAGCAGCTCCCAAGCTCAATTTTTTTGCTACTTTGCTTTTTATGCACAATGCTGTATTTTTTAAGCTGTACTGAGACCAAGATGCACACATCTACTGGACGGTGGGGAGGCAAGGTTGGAGCACTGGACGGTGGGAGGAGAGGTTGCTAGGTCAGGACACCTCTGCACCAAGCAGTGCCCCAACGTCCCTGCATGCACCCATGGGATTATAATGTGAGGGGACAGGATGATGGAGGGAGTTGGGATTTTGTTGCTCACTGAGGGCAGGAGAGTGTGTTTCCCTGTCATCTAACAGAGCAATCCCTGAGAAACCTGGCTTCAGGGTTCCTTCTTGCATCCAAGCTGCTGAACTTTGGGGGCTCACTTGGCAAAACCAGCAGTACCTTTCTCTGCATACTCACCAGGCAGCCCTCTTCTTCGAAGGCTACCTGATAGTGAAGTCTCTTGGTTAGAGGGCAAGGAGAGCCCAGGAATCAAACCCCCGAACATGCCCTTTGCACTGCAGTGCTGCTTTCCCCAAGTGCTGCTTCAGCCTCCTGCAAACAAGCTGCCCAGTTAATGTTTGATTTGCCCAGTGGTGTGCAGCAGCAGGAGCAACCCCAGCAGACAATGCTGACTTCACTGGGGGACAGGACACCGAGCCCTGGGGTCCTTGATAAGTTCCCTGTTGGCAGACACTGCCCAAGGAGTTGGTACCCTTCTCTTCACCTCAGGATATGGGGTAGAAATCCAGTGTCTTGAGGAAAATGCAGACAGGGAACTGGGGTGCACCTCTTTGACCCATGGAGCTGGTGGCTCCTCTGTGCATTGCTGCCTGGAGCAGGATTTGTGCATGAGGATTTGTCCCTCACCAGCCAGCTGCAAGGCACCTGGAGGTCTGTTGGCTGCTGGGCTGCCCAGCAGCCCTATTGCACAGCTCAGCCCCCCAACCCTGCCCCATGTCTGCCCCAAGGCCGGTGACCAAACCTGGGGCTGTGCAGAACTGGCAGTGGCTGGTGGCCATGGAGCTGCCTCTTAGCTGCTCTCGCAGATGTTTACTGGGGAGCAGTGCACAAGTAACTGAGTCTGGCTTGCCACCAGCGTAACTCGAAAGGCTCTTGAGGTCACAGACTGTTCTGGGCCAAGCCAGCCAAGAGCATGGTGACTGCCAGAAGAGTGCAAGGTAGGCAATCCAGCCAGCCAGCTATTGTGCATGCAGCATGAGAGTCATACACATCTCCTGTTTCTGGGTGCCCAGCACCGGGGCTGGAATCTGTGGGTCCTGGTCCTCCTAATTATCCAGGCATTTTTCCATCCCCATGGCTGTCCAGTGCCATCAGCAGAAGCCCATGCCATCCCTGTGTGGCTCTGGGGCAGAAAGAGTTGCTGGAGAACCCTTCTGAGTCCAGAGGTGCCATCAAGTGAGTGGTGGCCATCCCCAGGCACAGCAGTGAGTCTCTGGTGACAAGGCTTGTTCTCTGGGAGTCACCAGGGTGACACTGGTGCTGCGTCAGCATCAAGGGCTGGGCGTTTTCTCCATCTCTCAGCAAAAAGCAAAGGTCGGGGCCAGGAGGCTCAGCTGAGAAGGATGGTGGGGATGGGAACTCCCAGCCCTTGGAGCAGACTGTGCTGTGTCCTGGGTCATTGGGCTCTGCTGAGCCTAGAGGTTTGAATCCAGGAATTGCATGGTCTAACACTTTCCCAAAGCATAACCAAGATAAGTGTGTTCTGTGCTGACTCCAACCACCTCATGGGCACTTTGGCCTTGGGTAGGGCTGGAGAAGGTCCTTGTCCTCCTTGCACCTGCTGGCTCGGCAGAGCTGGGATGGCTGGCAGAGAGCTGAGGGACAGCTCTAGGCACACACACTGCTGGATCTGTTCCTCTGTCCTGCAAATGCTATGATAGCAGCATGCCCTGCTGGGACTGGCAAACCAGGCTGGGGGGCTGCAAGTTACTCTTCCTTCCACCCTATGAGTCCTTGGCCTGGGTGCTGTTCTGGGCTGCAATTCAGCCTTCTCCTCCATGTTGAAGCCATTGGCAGCTAGAGCCCATGTGGTCACCTATTTCCTCTGAGGAGGAGATTCATTGGCACTTCTGGAAGTAGTTTGCTTTAAAATAAATTACTGTGTTGTGAGCACAAAGCTCCCTGAGCCTTTCCCACCCTAGCCCAGCCCTACCAATGCCCTTTCATGGAGGCTGTGACAGTGACTGTGCCTCAGTTCTTGTCCATCCCTCTCTACCAGCACCTCTCCCGCTGTCCTGGTTAGTCCTGATTCTGCTGCCCCTTCCTTTGACTCCCTGTCTGCTTTCTGCCGTTTGACAGAGCTGGATCACTGACAGCCCAACAGCACTCCAGCACATCCTTACCAAAGATAATTTTGTTGTGGTTTAGTGCCATGGCTGCAGCCCAGGAGCCAAATGCTCTTCACCCCAGTTGCACCCACATGAGCCTTCCCACATCCCAACTAGATCTGCCTTCCCCCTTGGCAGCGTGGGGCTGCAGCTTCTCCTCTGCTCCAGGTCGGGTGTCTGTGGTAGGTGAGGGTGAGCTGGGGCAGTGGGATCAGGCTGATATTCCTCATCTTCTGGCATGGAACCTCTGGCCCAAGCACTTGGTTGGCAAGTCAGCCTGTGGCAGGGAGAGGAGTTGGCTCTGGCTCCTGGGCATGGCAGGCCACATCGCTGAGCAGGACTGAAGCTGGTGAGGACCTTGCTGGGTGTCCCTGCAGGTTTGCTGGCTGTGGCTGCCAGCCCAGGTGCTGCTAGGAGGGAGGGAGCAGGCTGCAAACCAGGCAGCAAAGCCAGCAGTCTGGTGTGGAGTGGAACAGCCAGGAGGGTTTGCTTTGCATCACAGGCTAGTGTGGGAATTTGAGCATGGTGACAGGGTGGGCAGGAACTGCATATCAAAGCTGGCCGGGGTTTTGCTGGGCCAGCACTGGTTTGAGAGAGGCTTCAGGGGAATTCACTGCACTTAGGGCCGAATAGGCATGTCTGTGAGCTGTGCATTGACATTTCCCAGTGTGCCTGAGGGATTTAACAGGACTACATCAGGCTTTCTCAGGCTAGGAGGGAGAAGCTCACTAGGCAGTGTCCCTGCTGCATGGCAGGTGGGTTTGGAGGTCCATCTGCCTTGGTGCCAGCATGTACTGGAAACGAAGAACAGAGATTTCCTTGTGACTGAAAGCCCCTGCTTGGCTTCCCAGTGCAAACCAGCACGAAAGGCCCTGTAGCTGGGAGTTGGGAAGGGGAACAGGATATTTCTGGCTGGCTTAGGAGCACACTGCCTTCAGTGCCTGCATGTGTAAATGGCTCTGCACCGTATCAGTTGTCCATTGATGTAAGTGAGGAAAGGTTGAACTTGAAAACTGGGCAAGAGCAAAGCCTGGCTCCAGTTCTCAGGGGTGAGTCCCAAACCACTCTGTTTAGTTGGTGAATCTGTCCTGGGCTTTATGCTCTTCCACAAGCTACCTGTGGGCCAAGTGTTGCTGCAGTACACAAGGAGTGTTTGTGACTCGTTGCTTCAGAAGATGATCAGCTATGGACTTTTGTCTTCTGCTACCTGTAGCTTTTCCAAAGTTTTCTTACCTCCTGTATTTCCCAGGCTGGAAAACTGCAGATCAAGCCCACATCCACATCTTCAAGGGTGAAGCTCTTTTGCTGTTTCTTTTCTTGCTCCTACTCTCCTCTCCTCCAGCCATTCATCTCTCCTCCCCTGTGGCCCACCTGTGTTGCAGGTGCCCTAACATGGTTGAGTAACTCAGCCCCCCAGCAGGGAATCAGCATTCCCAGCCCCTGTTCAGGTGGAGCCCCTAAACCATGGTCTTTGTTTTGCCCCAACAGGCCATGACTCAGTCCCCAAACGCCGTGACCGAGGATATTTATACCAATGGCTCAGCGACTCTGGGCAGTCCCTCGCGCAACAGCCGCGAGGTGCGGAAGATACGCCTTGTCCAGTTCGAGAAGGTCACAGAGGAGCCCATGGTGAGACCTGGCAAGGTCCCAAAGCTTGATGGCACCCAGGGGGGTGGAGGGCCAGGTTGAGTTGTGCCAACGGGCTGGCCTTGGGGGAAGCAGATCACTGGAGACCTCGGCCATGGGAAAAAGGTGCTGGACCCTGCCTTCTGCCTGGGGACCTGAAGTGAGCCCCATCCAGGGGTGGTGATGCTTGTGCCAAGAGGAACTGCAGCAGAGGCTGAGCTGGCCAAGCAGGGTCTTTCCCCCAGCCACTGTGCAGCCCACCATGGACATGGGCCTGGAGAGGACTTTGCTGAGGGCACGGGAGCTCTCCCCTGCAGCAAGCAGTCATGGATTTTCCTGTCTTCCAGGGAATCACGCTGAAGCAAAACGACAAGCAGAGCTGCATGGTGGCCAGGATCTTCCATGGGGGCATGATTCACAGACAAGGTAACAAGGCCTTCCTAGAAGCAGTGCATGGGGTGCACGTCTGCAGTTGGTTTCTTTCCATGCAGCAGTAAGGCAGCTCCTCAGCACTGCTGGCTTTCCCCTGTGACATGGATGTCTGTGCTTGTTCCTTCACTAGGGATGTATCAAGAACTCAGGACTCGCTGGTCTCTGCATGGTTGTCATGTTAATACACTGGAGGCTTTAGTGGTAAATAAAGGGTTGGGGGAAGGGCTCTCCCAAAAAGGAACTGAGACTGTCTGTCTCGTGATGGGGTCACTGTAAGAAGAGATGGATCATACCCCAGAGATTGTGAGGGAAGCTCTTCCCATTCCTAAAGTGCACAGGTGGGACAAGCATGCTGTAGATTGGCTCTTCAGACCAAAAGAAGGTGCCAAAAGAAATAAATAGGTGCTATTTTCTGGTTTAGGGTCTTGCCAAGGAGGCATGGAAATGAGATGTTTTCTGCTTAGAAGAGGCCCCTTTTCCAGCCGTAGGTCCAAGTGGGAAGTCTGTGCTTACTGCTGCCAAATAAGACAGGAGCCATTCCAATAACACTACTGGAGCCTGATTTATAGCAGCATATCTGAGGCTGTAATCTGCCTGGGTATATAAACTGAAAACACACGAAGTCAGGAATGCTTGTGTTAAGGGCCCTGTAAAGAGGTTGTCATTGGCTTCAGGTGAGGTACTTGGGGTTGGGTTTGAATAACTCTGAAGCAAGTGCTTTGACCAGTCTAAAGCACTGAAGGACAGGCAGTGCAAAGCAACCTGATGACCTTCAGACTGGCTAAGTGTGTGTATTGGGTGGAGGGGGAGGAATTAATTCCCCTTGTGCTTTAGTTCCATGTGCTTAGATGACACGTGTGGCTCCAGAAGCACTGCCCAGGCAACCACTGCAGTGTCTTGGCCACAGCTTGCCTGGGGTGGGTTGGGAAGCTGGTGGAGCTGTGTAGTTTGAGTTTGGTGAGTAGCTCTTGTCCCTTTTCTGCATTTTTATGTTTCTCACATTGCTGGCAGGCTCCCTTCACGTGGGTGATGAAATCATAGAAATCAATGGGCAGAGTGCAAGCAACCACTCAGTTGACCAGCTGCAGAAGATGCTGGTAGGTATTTGTGTTTGACAGGGCTGTTCCCTGGGAAGGACCCCTTTGGCCTGCAGACATGCATGCTGGCTGAGCATTCACCCCCTCCTAGGTACCAGAGCCAGCACACAGCTGCCTGCAGCAGTACAATGTGGCAGAAACCAGGCCCGCCGTGCTGGCGTGCTGTGAGACCCCCAGATGCTGGGTTTGCACATAACCGTAGTGGTGGCTGTGCTTGCTACTTATTTCTGGCCTCCTGAGAGCAGCAGGGAAGGCTCTTGGCTAGGTCCCTGACATGTGCTGAAGTGTGTGGGGCTTAGAAACCACCTCTGTTTGCCAAGGCTGGTGTGCAATTCCAGCCCAGGGGCTGGCTGCTCTTGCAGACTTGACCCACACATTCAGGTCATCTTGGTGCCATTTTCTTGCTGCTGAGGTCATTGTAATCCTGCCAGGCCCTTGCTAGAGACAGCTTTGGACAGTACCTCAGACCTGCCTTGGGTTCACCCACTGAGGCCATCCTGATCCATGCCCAACATATGGGACCTGGCTGGAGGGAGGTGGTAGTGGTGCTGAGATCACCCACCAGCAACCTAAGCAGGAGTCCTAGCCCTGCTGCAATGCCACAGTCATCTCCTGTCTGATGGCAAGATGTCCCTGTTCCAGACAGCAGGACCAAGGAGGAGCTTGTCTTTGTCTGCCTCTTGACAAGGGCAGTTGGGCCAGGAAGCCCCTTCCAAGCCTCCACACGTGGTTGTCCCCATGGGACCATGTAGGTCTTGCGATGCATGTAGGGGAACAGTGCATCTGGTCTGTGGCAGGCAAGAGTGCTGTGCTTCTAATGTCATCAGGAGGGCCAGAGCAAGAGGCCAGCACAGAGGGAACAGATGGAGAGGACCTGGCAGAACCAGCCTCTCCTCCCAGGCTTCTCACTGAGGCAGCCAGGCCAGAGATTGTACAGATCATCATGTTTGTTCTAGTGATGTTTAGCAGTGCCCACAGCCAGACACTTGTGGTGGTGCTGGTGTTCCCTCATGGGAACAGGACAAGTATGGCAAAGCTGTGCTGCCACAGCCCAGCCCCAGCAGAGCTGTTTGTGACCAGGCTGTGGTGTCCTCCAACATCACAGCATGGCAGGGAGCACCCAGGAGCCTTGCTTTTGCAGGTCCTGGCACTCAGCACCTCCCTGCAAAGGTTGCTGCTGTTGAGCTGTCTCCAGACACCACCTCCTCCAACTCTTATTTCTCCCCTTCCTTTGTTCACTAGAAAGAAACCAAGGGGATGGTCTCAATAAAAGTAATTCCCAACCAGCAAAGCCGCCTCCCTGCTCTCCAGGTAAGTGCAACCTCTAGACCTATAGGCAGTGCTGGGACATGGCTGTGGGGCAGGGTGGGACCAGAGCAAACCATACAGGACCAGCACTGGGGAGAGAGCTGTGCTGAGCCAGAGGTGTTAGGACAAGGTGGTGGCTGCCTTGCCACCTTGTCTGAGCTGCTAGAGGCTGAAGGGACCTGTCTTGTGCTTACATCACTGCAAACAACCAGATTTTGGCCCTGTATGGCTGTATTTACCTTATGTGTAGGTAGGAACGTGGGCCTGGGGTGCCTGAGCCACAGTGGTACATATGTGCAGTGTTTGGGGATGGGAAAGCAGCAGCATGTGCACACCAGGGAGCATGCCAGTCTCCTGCTACCTTCAGAGCTGTGACCGTTAGAGCCGTGTTCCCATGGCAGGGCCGCAGCAGCCCCTCCAGGTGCAGCCCAGGCTCTCTGCTTCCTGCTGTCACCAGTGCCTGGTGCATCAGCTGCAGTAAGGGTGACGTCGGTCCGGATGCTACCAGCATGTTTGTGCACAGCGAGTGGGAGGAAGGAAGCAGTGGGGGAGAGGAAAGCAGCTCCTTGCACTGGCTGCCACTGCCAGGGTGGGGGGCTGTGCTGTGGCAGAGGGGACACCTGCCTGGCTTTGCCTTTGAAGTCCTGCTGTGGCTGACATAGAACAGTGGGGAGGGCTGGGCCCTCTCCCATGGCTGTGGTAGTGAGGACGCTGTCCTGTCTATGGGTGCAGGAGTCAACCCCAGCACAGCCTCCCTGTCACGGACAGGCAGAAGTGGGAGGGGAGCTCAGAGGCAGAGGGGTGGGGATGAGGTGGTACTGGGATGAGCTGAGGGAGCCCATGTCACCTTCCTTCCTTACCTAGAGATGCTGAAGTTTCTGAACATGATGGCAAATGAAAACAGTTTCTTGCTCAGCCCATGCTGTCTTCATTGCAGCTCAACCAGCCTTATACATGTGTGTTTATTAAACACTGGCCCATGTCTGTTCTTTCCTGCTGTCTATCTGCCCTCCCTGGCCTGACCCAGCCAGCTCCAGTTGGCCACACCAGCTCAGTGCCAGGGAAAAAAGCTACCTCTGAAAAAAAGAACACAGTTGCAGGCTCACCTGAGGCTGGCTGTGGGCTCAGGGAAAGACACAGGGACAAACTCCTTCCCAGCAACAGTTGTACTCCCTCCTGCTGTGCCCAGGGCCATGGTGCTGTCTGCTCCCTAGAACCACAGCTGGCCATGTCTCTGCTTATTGCAGTACACTGCCAAGAATGGACTTTGTTTCCACTCCTGGATCCCCATGATCACCTTTATTTCAGGGCCTGGCAGGCAGGATGCTGGAGATCCTGTCATCACAATGCTCCTTGCTCTGGCTTGCCCCACAACCAGCAGCTTTGAGGTTGAGTGTCTCTTGGGGTAAATCTGCTTGGGAGGATCCTAATGAGGAAGCACAGAGCACTCAAGGCTGTGGAGATCACCTGCAATGTGTTTCCTGCAGCCTTTTCAGGGCTGGAGCCTGCTCAGTCCCTAGGCATCTGGCTTGAGAGAGGGCTGGGAGCAGGCAGGCAAAGAGCTTGCATTTGTAGCTGGCTCTTTGCAGCCAGGTGATGTGTGGAGCTGTCTGATGCTAACTCCTAGCTGGTGTAAGGGAGGGTCTTTCCAAAAGTGGTCTGGTTATGTCTGTCTTGGGGTAGTAGTGCTGCAGGAGCAGTGAGTTCCAGAAAGGTGCCTGGGCAGTGTGTGCTGTGTATCCCTTCTGTGTTAGTGTCGACAACCAACCTCCTGGTGCCAGAGAGTGCTTTCAAAGTAAGCATCAGTCCTCATCCTGAAAGGAGATTCCACTCTTGTTTTCCATTGTGAGAGATCTCATGTCACAGCTTGATCCATGTGCTCATTTCTGGCAGTGAAAGGGAACCATGTTTGTGTCCTGATGGCTCTGTGCCTCCAGCAGCACTGCTGGAGGAGGACATACTGTGAGAAATTGTTTTAATGTGGAACAAGGACAGCATGGTCTACTCTGCTCAGGGAGGATGTCTTTCCAGACCTTGCCTATCACATCTGAAGACAGGACAGGCATCACCCTGTGTGAAGCCCTTTGCTCCCTGCTACATGCTGTGCTTCTGGGATAAATAACTGGGTGGGGTTGTGCTCAGGAGAAGCCTGCATTAGCATGAGCTCTGATAGTGCTGCTTCCCCTGCAGAAGGATCTCCCGCCAGTGGCACAATGCCTGGGCAACCCCAGCATGCTGCTGGCTTGGGACCCTGCATCTTCCTGAGTGATCACAGAAGTCTCAAACAACAGGGAGAACCCATGAGTTGTGGGAGAGCTTGCAAGACTGCACACTAGAGCAGCTGGGGATTGAGACATGGCCTTTCCCAGGGTCCCCAGGATTTCAGATTGCAGAGTACACCACTGTGATGTCTCCTGTGCTCATCCCATTGCAGGCCCCAGTTGTGCAGTGTTGGTCTGGGTGGTTGGACTCTTCTGTGGCTGGCTCAGCTCACAACACTGTGCAAGACCCAGGGCACTGCAGGGAGGCTCCATGTTGGGTTCAAGCACCAGCTGTGGACTTGCAGGCCTACCTAGAGGCAGCAGCCCTGTCACCAGCTCCCAGCAGGGTCAAGATGCCATCCTTCTCCCTCCCTCATCCAAGCACCAGCACATCTCAATGCAATTCCATGCCCAAAAGCTTCCCCCAAAGCTTTGTGCATCTCCTTCCTCCCCACCAAGCTTTGTGAGGCCTGGAAAGCAGCAAGGGCTGTGGTCCCTCCTGGAGCAGGGACCTTGTGCCTGGAGCAGTCTCTGCAGTCACTGCTGGGAAATGGAATGTGGGAGCAGGAGCTGGACACCACCAAACTCAGCCACCCTGTGTGGCTACGCTGACTATGGCTCTCTCTTTTGCAGATGTTCATGAGGGCACAGTTTGACTACGACCCCAAAAAAGACAACCTGATCCCCTGCAAGGAAGCAGGACTGAAGTTTCAGATTGGTGATGTGATTCAGATCATAAACAAGGATGACAGCAACTGGTGGCAGGGCCGGGTGGAGGGATCCTGCACCGAGTCGGCAGGACTCATCCCTTCTCCAGAGCTGCAGGAGTGGTAGGTCCCTGGATTTGACCAGAAGGGCTGGATCTGGGAGTAGAGGTGGGAACAGTGACCATGTGCTATCAGGAGTTTGATTGTGTTGGGTAACACCAGTGTCGCTGCTGGGACAAGGATGCAAATATCCTCTTCATCTGCCTGATCCAGAAGCCAACCTGCTCTGCTCTTCTCACCCTTGCATGTCTGGGACAATCCTGCTGCTTCCCCAGGGTTTGGGGTGACAGCTGGACCATGGTGGTGTCCTCCTGTCTTGGCAGGCGCGTGGCGAGCGTCACCCAGTCCAGTCAGAGTGAATCCCCAAGCTGTAGCCCCTTTGGGAAGAAGAAGAAGTGCAAAGATAAATACCTGGCCAAGCACAGCTCAAGTAAGTGAACAGGTCAATGGGCTCCATCCCCAGCCTTGGCCATCACTCCTGCCTCAGGGCAGAGGTGGGAGTCAACCAAATGGCCCAGCTGTGTTATCAGGGGAACCTTGGAAGGATACCTCACAGTTGTTAGCTTTTTTGAGTCCTTTCTCCAGCCTTCATACCCCTCAGGTGGCCACCGCTGTGTCCCCATGCAGCTCTGTAGTGCACAAGGCCAGGGCTGGCTCAGCACCAATCTCCTGTGCTCTCCCATGGTGACAGTCCCTGGCACTCTTGGCCCTCAGCTTGGAAGGTTGGGCTCCTGGGCCTCCAACCCCACAGGCTGCTGAGTACAGGGCAGGCGGTGGCCTCACTGCTGTTCAGCAATTAGGGAGCAGCCCAAACTGTTCTCACAGGTGTCAAACCATGTTCCTGGTGGGGTAGGGAACTGCCCCTCAATGGCCCTTGCAAATGCCTTGAGCAGGCAGAGATTGGTGCCTGAGGACATGCTGGCTCCAAGCCTGGCCTGCAGTTCCAGCCAGCAACAAACAAGGCTGTAAATCACCAAGATAAATAAAGCTCCAACAGCAAAAGCTCCCTGCAGCATCCTCCTCTCCACCCAGCTCTCACTCAGGTCCTGCTGTCCTGAGCAGAATTACTGAGCAAAAGCAGCCCTGGCTTCTTCAGCAGCTGTTCATCCAGCTCCCCAGCACCCACTCCACACCTCACATACTGCTTTCTGTTAGGGTTGCTGCCCTTCTCCCCAGGCAGCCAAACACGGATGAGCTCCCAGCCCAGTCCATTTTACTCAAGGACCTGGCTTTGTTCTGACACAAACACAGACCTGCTGCTGAGGCCAAGCCAGCTCTGACCTCTCTGTGTCTTGTTTCTCCTCCCCCCCAGTTTTTGACCAGCTGGATGTTGTTTCATATGAGGAGGTGGTGAGGCTGCCTGCCTTCAAGAGGAAGACTCTGGTGCTCATTGGTAGGTCCTGTCCCAGGCATACTCTTCAGCAGAGGGGGTTGTGTGTGGTGGGTGCCAGGGGAACCAGGACTGCACAGGGGCTGGGGCAGTGTGGTCCTTCAGAACCTGGTAAGCTCTGGGGAGCATTTATTCCACCTGCAGTGATCATCATGCAGGCTTGACCTCCTCCATGCAGCACTGTGCATGGGCAGCCCAAGTCCAGCCACACTGGCTGCTCAGCTTTCTCCATCTAGGGCTGGAGGTGAACATCCCCAGGCCAGGAAGAGCTTCTTCCAGGGCTGGAAAATGCCACAGACCAGCTCAGAGGGCACATCCTGGGAAAGGCCAGGCCAAGCTCTGCTCCTTTCCTCAGACCCAGAGCTGTGGAGGGGCCCCAGCAATTCCTAACAGGTTGCTCTGAGCTCAGCTCTAGTGTCCATTTCTTTCTCTACAGGCGCCAGTGGTGTGGGCCGTAGCCACATCAAGAATGCTTTGCTCAGCAACAACCCAGACAAGTTCATGTACCCACCCCCATGTAAGTATCCAGCCAGGGTGAAGAGCACAGCACAGGATGCATTTCCTCTCACTTTCTTGGTCCAAACAGGAAGCAGTGAAAAGGGGATTAGTACAGCCTGGTCCTGAGGTACACAGGGCCACCATACCTGCTCCACTCTGTTCTCTAGTCCTTCTGGGGGCCAACACTGACCCTCTCCTTCCCTTCCCAGACACCACACGCCCCCAGAAGAAGAATGAGGTGGACGGGAAGGACTACTACTTTGTCTCCACTGAGGAGATGACCCGGGACATCTCAGCCAATGAGTTCTTGGAGTTTGGAAGCTACCAGGGAAACATGTTTGGCACCAAGTTTGAAACAGTGCACAAGATCCACCAGCAGGACAAAGTTGCTATTTTGGATATTGAGCCCCAGGTAGGGAGCAGAGGGAGGTGGGTCCTACCACAAACTGAGCTACCTGTGTGCTGGGTGTGACTGTCCCTGCCTTCCCTGGTACACTGCCCATCTGCCCGTCCTAAAGAAAAAAGCCAGCAAGCCCTGGGGTAGCATTTTCATTCCCAAGACATAGGTGCAGTAAGAGTATTCCCCACCACAGCATACACGTGGCTGTGACAGCAAGACTGGTGAGGTGAGAGATTTGGCTTGCAGTGCCAGCATGAGCCCTGCACAGGGACCCTTTTCCCTCTCCAACACCACATGTGTGGGCGTTGCTTTGCAAAGTGGTGGTGGTGTTCAGTAGCGAGCCCAGAGCAGGGCTAGGGATGCCCTTACATCCACCTCAATGAAGCAAGGCATACTGGGACCCCTGTTCCAGCTTCACCCAACTTCCTCCATTTCACCTGGCTTGCCCCAGGTTCATCAATCTACCCAGAGAGCTCATTCCATAGTATCATAGTATGTTAAGGGGTTGGAATGAACCCTAGAGATCATCTAGTCCCAACCCTCTG